TTTTTTTTTGTAGTAATGAGGTCTCACTATGTTGCCCGGGCTGGTCTCGAACATCTGCGCTCCAGGCGATGCTCCCACTTAGGCCTCCCAAAGTGTTGGGAGTATAGGCGTGAATCAAGGCACCTGGCCCTGAATATAGGTTTTCAGTTTACTGCCTATTCTTGTCTTACTGCCATGGTTAGGCCCTCTAGAATAATACTGAGTAGACGTAATGATAGAACACATTCTTCTTAGTGACGTTAAATGTCTAATTATTAATTAGACATTTATGATGCTGTTTACTTTGCATTTTTGGTAGATACATTTTATTAGATTAAGGAAGTTTCTTTATCTAGTTTGTTAAGGTTTTTAAAAAATTTTGTGAATGGGTATGCATTATATCAATGGTTTTCCTGTGTCTGATCAAATGAATCAAATAATTTCTCTTATTTGTTTTACTATGGTGAATTACATTGACAGAGTTTTTTCTTCTTCTTCTTTTTTTTTAAATCTGGAGTCTCTGTTGTCTAGGCTGGAGTGCACAGGGTGCAATTATAGCTCATTCAGCTTCAAACTCCTAGACAGTTGGGCTCCAGCGGTCCTCCTACCTCAGCCTCCTGAGTAGCTGGGATTACAGAGGTGAGCAACTGTGCCCAGTTTGAAAGAGCTTTTTACTGTAAAATTATGCTGGCATTCCTGAAGTAAACCCAATAAGAACATATGTACATGTATGTGTGAATATGTGGATTTCTAAATTCTGGTTTAATTTAAGGTATCTGTTTGAGTAGTCATGAGTGCGGGTGAGTTCTCATTTATTATTTTGTTTGATTTGATATCAGGGTTATGCTACCCTTAAAGAAGGAGCTATTTGTTCCCACTGTTCTTTATCTGGAAGCATTTGTATAAGTTTGGGATAATCTGTTTCTTAACTTTTTTGGTAGTGATCTCCTGTAAAATTACTGGGGTGTGGTTATTTGTGTGGCAGATTTCATTTGGTTAATGGTCGTAAGTCTACGCATAGTTGAGTCCCATTTTGTTAATTATTTCTTCTAGGAAACTGTAATTTATTTTCTAATTCATCAGCATAAAATTATTCATAATATTCTCTTATTTTTCAAGCCACGGCTCTATCTGCCATGTCTTTTTTTCATAATACTGTTTGTGTCTCTTTTTTCTTAATCTGTCAAAGGTTTTATTTTTATTTTTATTTTTTGTTTATTTTTTGAGATGGAGTCTCACTCTGTCATCCAGGTTGGAGTGCAATGGTGTAATCTCGGCTCACCGCAACCTCCACCTCCTGGGTTCAAGTGATTCTCCTGCCTCAGCCTCCTGAGTAACTGCGAATACAGGCACCTGCCACCACGCCCAGCTAATTTTTGTATTTTTAGTAGAGATGAAGTTTCACCATGTCGGCCAGGCTGGGCTGGAACTCTTGACCTCAGGTGATCTGCCCACCTCGGCCTCCCAAAGTGCTGGGCCTACAGGCATGAGCTACCACGCCTGGCCTATCAAAGGTTTTCAATATTGTTATTTCAGAGAACCAGCTTTTGGTTTTAAGAGTCCTCTCTTCTGTATTTTGTATTCTATTTTATCAGTTTCTGCTCTTTGTTGTATTTTCTTCATATTTTTCCTGTCACATTTCCCTGTTTGCTGAGTTGTTGTTCCTTCATTAACTTCTTGATTAAATGCTGCGCTACTTATTTTCCAGTCTTCTTCTCTAATATAACCAGTTAAGGTTATATATTTTCCTTTAGCTTCTGTTAAAACTCCACAAGTTTTGGGCCAGGTTCTGTGGCTCACCCCTGCTGTAATCCCAGCACTTTGGGAGGCCGAGACAGGTGGATCACTTGATGTCAGGAGTTCGAGACCAGCCTGGCCAACATGGTGAAACCCCTTCTCTACTAAAAATACAAAAATTAGCCGGGCATGGTGGTGTGCTCCTGTAATCCCAGCTACTTGGGAGGCTGAGGCAGGAGAATCGCTTGAACCCAGGAGGCAGAGGCTGCAGTGAGCCAAGATCTTGCCACTATACTCCAGCCTGGGTGACAGAGAGAGACTCTGTCTCAAAAAACAAAACAGGATGAAACCAAAAAGACCCAAACAAACCAGAAAGCTCCACAAGTTTTGAAATGTATTTCCATGACCATTCCGTTTTAAATCTGTGCCCATAAATTTCCTCTTTTCCATCCTGCTCTCTGCCCACGGGGCTGCCTGTGGGAACTACCAGGGGCTGCTCGCTGTGCCTTCTGTCTTCCATTTGGGTTCAGCCATTGAGGATTCCCGGCAGGAGACAGAAGAGGAGATCGAGGTCAGGGTATTTATTTCCCTGGGCTCTTCTCTGAGATTGCCTCAAGCTGCTCATGTCCCTTGACAGAAGGTCATTGCTTCTTGCATGGTGGTTTGCTCTACAAAAAAATCTCATTTGGGATTTCTCTAACTTCTGTCTGTTCTCATCTCTTTGGACGTATGGGTTGTGACAGTTCTACTGTTACTAGATCCTCCACTGTTTCTTGTGATTTCCACATATCTTACCCAGGCTGGAGTGCAGTGGTGCCATCACGGCTCACTGCAGCCTCGACCACCTGGGCCCAAGTGATCCTCCCACCTCAGCCTCCAGAGTAGGTGGGACTACACGCTTGCACCACCATGCCTGGATAATTAAAATTTGTTTTTCTTTTTTCAGAGATAGGGTCTCCCTATGTTGCCTAGGCTGGTCTCGAGCTCCTGGGCTCAAGTGATCCTCCTGCCTTGGCCTCCCAAAGTGCTGGGATTACAGGCATGAGCCACCGCACCCATCCTTCATATTCATATTCTCTTTTTCTTTTTTTGAGATGGAGTCTCACTCTGTTGCCCAGGCTGGAGTGCAGTAGTGCAATCCTGGCTCACTGCAACCTTCACCTCCTGGGCTCAAGCGATTCTCCCGCTTCAGCCACACGAGTAGCTGGGATTACAGGCGCGCCCCATCATGCCCAGCTAATTTTGTATTTTTAGTAGAGACGGTGTTTCACCATGTTGGTCAGGCCAGTTTGGAGCTCCTGACCTCAGGTGATCCCCAGCTTCAGCCTCCCAAAATGCTGGGATTACAGGTGTGAGCCACTGCACCCGGTCAGTCCTTCATATTCTTTAATAATCCAAAAAAGCTTTTCTTTTCTTTTTTTTTTTTTTTTTTTTTGAGACGGAGTCTCGCTCTGTCACCCAGGCTGGAGTGCAGTGGCGCGATCTGGGCTCACTGCAAGCTCCGCCTCCTGGGTTCCCGCCCGTTCTCCTGCCTCAGCCTCCCGAGTGGCTGGGACTACAGGTGCCGCCACCGCGCCCGGCTAATTTTTTTGTATTTTTAGTAGAGACGGGGTTTCACCGTGTTAGCCAGGATGGTCTCGATCTCCTGACCTCATGATCCGCCCACCTCGGCCTCCCAAAGTGCTGGGATTACAGGCGTGAGCCACGGCACCCGGCCGCACGGAATCTCTTTTAACTTTATGGGCAAGGTGGGGGATCATTAGATTTGAGCGCACCCCACTCATGTAACTGTTTTACAAAATAAAATTATTCAAGTAACACACGAATATATATATATATATTTTGGGATGGATTCTTGATATATTTCCCAGTCTGGTCTCGAACTCCTTGCCTCAAGCGATTCTCCCACCTCAGCCTTCCAAAGTGCTGGGATTACAGTCATGAGCCACCGCGCCCGGCCAGTAATGTTTGTTTAAAAATAAAAAGATAAATAAGAAACTCGAAGTAAAGTCTGCTTTGACCATCGTGCCGATCGTTCTCCTCTCTGAAGGTAACCATTACCAGCGTTTTGAGCACACTTTTCCAGTCTCCTTTCTACATGTCTTCTCAACTCTATTGCATATACAGAGTTTCTTTTTATACACATGACACCTCTTGGGGTCTCACTAAGACGCTAACGGGAGACGTGATGGTCGATTTATTTAAGGAAAGCAGACTAAATAATCGCTGATGAAAACCCACTGGGTGTCAGCCCTGCGCTAGGTGCTTTCTTTGGCATGCAGGGTTCTGGAATTTCACTCGCCACAGTCGGTGAGCTGAGCCATTAGCCTAGAGGCTGGGGGGCGGGGACGGGGAGAGTCGCTTCAAAGCGAGGAGGCAGGGTTTGTATTTTGATGGGACCTAACAGAGCGCGGAGCAACTGCGAAGCAGAAAAAATACCGTTACCGGAGTTGGCCCTGTCAATAAAGCTCGCGAAGCTGAAATGCGAAATATCTGCCAAGACCGAAGCTTCCTTCGGAATGTAGGAATCGACACTGCGCCTGCGAGACTAGCCTTGGAGCCCGGAGAGGAAAGCACCAGCAGTGGTAAAAAACGATGCACCGGTCAGGCAGCAACCGAGCAGCCAACCGGAGAGCGGGGAGCGCTCCGGCCCGGTGGGCAAGTGCGCCTGCGCAGACCGCTGGCGGG